CGCGTTCGGTCACACTTTCTCAAGTCTGGACCCTTACTGGAGTCGACCGGACGCAGGCCCCCAGCGTCCGGTCACACGACCTTCCAGCGTCCGGTCACTCCAGACTTGTTCTCCTCAGTCAAATGAACTGACCGGACCCTGCGGCCAGCGTCCGGTCGCACCGGAGCTAGCGTCCGGTCAGTATTTGACCCTCCATTCACTTCCAACTCTCGATCATATGTGAATGAAGTTTGCTCCAAAGGATCTTAGGCAATCATAGGAGCTACCTAGAGCTAGTTTTAACAAGTGTGCACCACACCTAACTCACTAGACTCAACTAGGTCAAGCTACCCGTTCATACCCCCCTTCATAGTATGACCAAAGGAAAAACAAAGTCCTAAACTACTCTAAGTGTCTCTCCAACTTCAATTGACACTTAGAACTAGTTATCCTTAACCTTGTCGTCCATCCTTTGAAAACCGAAACGATTTCCATCGTAGGGCCATGTCAACCTCAATTGCCCAATCGATCTCCATTACCATGACCTAACTTAATTGCCTCTGCAAAACACACGTTAGTCATGGTAATCTTGTATTGACATTAATCACCGAAATCCACTTAGGGGCCTAGATGCTTTCAGCAGGCACGGCGCTAGTCGATGGGCTGGTCCCGGACCCGGCCACTACGGCGTAGCATAGCGCCGCCACCACCGACCGATGCTGTGCCGATGTCGCTGGCATCTCGGCGCACCTTTCTTGCTCGCTGGACCGTGGCACGCCGGATCCCTTGGCAGTGACGGCGGCATGGCCCTGCTCCGACAGCTCCTTGGACGTCTCGCCACGCGACCCCGATCTCTTAGCCTTTGGCCACCGCTCCAGCATCCCCGCCGCCACAACCCGGCCAAAGAGAAAGACGCCTCCACACCCCACTCCTTCGAGACCCGCTCCGGCCGCCTCCAGAGCGGTACCGCCGCCGCCACAGTCCCGGCCGAAGAAGAGGCCTCACCCGACGGCGGCATCACCTTCGCCGCCGCCACAGTCCCGGGTGTCAAAGAGGAGGTCTCACCCGACGGCTGCATCGGGACCCACTCCGGCCGCCTCCGGAGCTTCCTGTACCGGAGGTTGACGAGAATCTGCGCAGCGCGAGCCTGCTCCGGATCCTCTTTCTCCACCGTCGCCATGCAGAACAGACACCAGCAACAAGCGCACGCCTCCCCTACCCTACCCTAAGCCGTCGCCGGCTCGGTGCTCTCTCGTCTCTGGATATGGAGATGCGTCTCGAGATGTGAGGCTCCTTTCTTGGACAAGTAGGACATACGGGATCGAAGAGCTCCATGGCGTGGGTGTCCCTCCCCTTTCTTATATCCCACCCCACCCACGTGCAACCGTCTCCAAATTCGGTTCGTCTCCGATTTTGATCTGCCCCCGCCCCCGCCCCCGCCCCCGTCGGTGAACACAAAATCCCAGCCGATTAACCAATAGCGATGCGATGGCAACGAGACAGGCAGCAGAGGGCTGACGATCAGACATTGGACCCGCTGCAGGAAGAGACGCCACCGGGCCAGGACTGCATGCAGCTCGTGCAATTCACTTCTAGTTTTTTTATTTTATTATTATAGTGTTTTATACTTCGTCTGTCCCTAAATATTTGTCATTTTCACTTAAAAACAACTTTGACTAATTATATATTAAAAATATTAATATTTATGGTACATAATTAGCATCAGTGGATAGATATTTGAATCTAGTTTTTAACAAATTTATTTAGAGACACAAATGTTACACGTATTTTTTATAAATCGAGTCATACTTATCAACACGTAAACCGTGACGACACACATTTATGAACATATATTGGTTTATAGACGGACAGAGATTAGACACAACGGGAGTCAGGATACAGGGCCATCAATCAATATCTGCACTGCACATAAATCATAACGACACACATTTAAGGACATACAACAGGAGTCAAGATACAGGGCCATCAATCAATATCTGCACTGCACAAGTTGCTGTCCACGTGCAATTTTCTTCAGATCAGACTTAAATCAATAATCATATGACAGCAGCTAGGTAATTAGCACACGACGTGTTTAACATGGATTAGACTGACGCAGCAGGAGTCGATCAGGTTAACTTAAGGTTACAAAGTAGCCGCGTCGCGTCGCGCGCGATCGGGTCCGGGGCCGGGTCCATCAAGACGTCGGCGGCACGTCGCGGTTGTGCGCGCCGAAGATCCTGTTGAGGAACATGGCCAGCCGCACCCCGCCCTGCGCGATCCGCCGCGACACGATCGGGAGCCTCGAGTCGAAGTAGTCGTCTGCAGGCGATTCCAGTCCAGGTGACAAAATGGATTATCTATCCGTCAGCAGGTCTTGGCTGTTTGATTCAGAGAGATACACGGTGGTTGTCTGTGTGCCCAAATTAACTAACTTACCGGACAGTGTTTCCCCTTCACGGACGCCGCTGTACGCCCACTTGCACGCCAGGCCTATGCTCTCGGTCGCGTACCTGTTGCATTGCGTATTTGCATCCGAAAGTTGGTAAATGGCTGTTTAGTAGGCAAACAAAAAAAACACCTCAACCTGCAGGGTAAGACAGACCCAGACATTGTGCTTAAAAAGAAGACCTCCTCACACAGATTGAGAAAATCCCCGAACCTCTGCCCCACCCATCAACAGCGGCACCGCAGCTCTCGTGAGACTGGGCTGGCCTTTAGACCTATGTTTAGGCGTGGGACAGACGAGGAGATTTTTTTCAACGAGCAGATAAACTGCGCCTACTCCGACCAACAAATCCGCCCTCGAGGGGGTTCGAATTCTTGCCGGCAGGATGAAAAGCGCACAGCCAGACCGACTGGACTAGCGCTTGCGATGTTTAGTAGGCACAATCCAAAAGAGTTAACTAAGGAATCCATAGTTTCAGAATGGGTTGTTGTTGCTAACTTGGTTGGGCAAGACGAGAGGTCTTCGCAGTCTGTCCAAGCCGACACATCGTCAGACCAGGTACCCTGCGAAGAACACGTACGTTGTCGAGAATTTAGAGTAATGGTATTGGCATGTTTCTTTGCTTGGATTGGACGAAGGATTAGATAGATAGTCCCGGCCGGAGCGGACTTCCGGTTCCCTTCACTTGCCTTGGTGAGGTTGTGCTCGAGTTGCTTGCCGAAGGCGTCCATGTCATTGCCGTAGAAATCGGCGAGAGCAGTCTGTATGATCTCCCTGTCCCACACCTGGAAACAATCCATCGGACAACATTAATTCAACAGTGCGGGATGATTAGGCTAATCCCACTGATGGAATCGTGTGCAATGCAAGCAAGAGGATCGTGGGGGAGAGCCGGAGAGCTCGTTAGTTACGTGATGGAGGTTGGATTTGTGCCGGAACCAGCGCAGCTCTATGGAATTGCCGCCTTGGTCGCTGGTGAATCCAACATGCATCGGCTGCAAGCAAACAACACAGGAAATAATTAAGCCATGTCAGTCACTTATAGTATGAGCTAAGCATGGCATGGTATGTATTCGTGGTAACTGGCAACAAGTAATTAGGCAGGTTAGGTTACCTGATGAACATCTCCCATGAAGTGTGACAGGAACAGAAGGGCTTCAGTCAGGTTGTCTGCGTTGCAACAAGACAGTGGTACGGTTACAAAACACAGAGATACGAACAGAACATTTGGTTGACACCACCAGCAGCATTGCTTCGCTTACATCTCCGGTCGGCGCTGCCGTGCTTGTAGTGCAGCAGCTGGGACGTGAAATTGGCGATGGCGCCGGCGACGCACATGTCCTTGGCGCCGTCGGGGCCGTGGCAGTCCCCTGCTCACCACCAACACCATTCCATTGCGTTTCACATCACAACACATCGAGAGATTCGAGCAATCCATAAACGGACATTGAACTGCACGGTCGGCTTGGAATTGAAGAGCTTACTCGAGTAGTCGAAGCTGCAGGCCTTGTCAGGGGTGTCGATGAAGTGGAGCGGGCCTGTCCAGCTGTACTTGTACCAGTGCCTGACCTGGTCCGGCCACACGCACAGCGCCGACAGGTCGCCGCCCACATCGTCCGGGAGCAGGTTCCTCACGGCGTGCGCCGCGTCAGGCTCCAGCAGATCCTGCAAGTCAAAGGCGCGCGAGGTCCTCTGTTCATCAACTATCCTAGATGAGAAAATGAGAAATGGGCGTGAAACGATCCGATTTTTACCTGTGCGATTTGGCATGTGAGCATGTGACCCTCTTTGCTCCACGACCGCGCCGCCGGCAGCGCTGACGAGAGAACCACCAGCCCGAGCGCCGCGGCTCGCAGGAGCGAGACGGTGGCCATCGACGACGACAAGTGGCGTTGCTCGCAGTGCCTGATCGATGCCGGAGCGGAGCTTGGCAGAGACGAGCGAGCGACTGAATGCCGCGGCGTTTGGGGACGGTGATATAGCCGGTGGAATGGAATGGACGGACGGTGAAGCGGCCTCTAGTCTTTTGCGTGCAAGCATGGTGTTTCTTCTTCAGGGCCGTTCCTCGCCATGCTCAACATTGCTTTGCTTAGCTCCAATGCTTCCCTACACTTGCTGACTGGCCGGCGGATGGCGGTGGCTGTGGCTCGCGTTTCGCCAATACTAGCGTGCTTCGGTTGCGTCGTCTTCTTCCCAGTTTTCTCCACCAGCTGTGTCCAACGCTGCTTCCACTGCTTGGCCTTGGCATCCCGGGATAAGCAACAGGGACGGGACGTGATGATTGATGCTGCAAGCGTTACCATTAGTAGATTTGTTTTGAAAGTTGCAAGGCCATTAGTGGCTGGCCTTGTAAATGTGCACGCCCACGCAACAGATACTGGGCCGAGCCTAAGCAAGGTGATGATCAAATGGGCCTGTCCAGACTCCAGAGGGCACTATGTTGGGCCCATTTCAAACGGCAACCGAGCGAAGCGAGAAGCGACCGACGGGGATAACTCGCCCGAGCCAAATCCGGCGCTGCCAGCCGGCGGTTGGTTCGCTCGCTCGCTCGCTTGCTGCCCGCCGCGCGGCGATGACGGCCACCGCCAGCTGCTGCTCCAGCCCCGTCGCGTGGGCGTGGCCTCGCACCGCCCCCGCAAGCGCGAGCGCGGCCGCCCTGCGCGTGGGCCGGTTTCCCGCGGTCGCGGTGGCGGTGGCGGCCCCCGACGCGGCGTTCCATCCGGACGTGTCCCGCGCGGCGGAGTCGCTGCAGGCGGAGTTCCGCGCCGTGGACCGCGCCATCGCCCTCAACTCCTCCCGCGTCGCCGCCGCCTTCCGCCGCGCGCGCGTCGCCCCGCACGTAACTCCTCTCCCCTTGGTTTCACCCCTACTACAGCTACAGCTTTCTCTGCTTGGCGTCCGAGCTCACTCCGCTTGTGAACGCGGAGTCACGTGCGTTGCGTGCGTTTGTTTCAGCATTTTGGCGGGTCCACGGGGTACGGCCACGACGACGGTGGCGGGCGGGAGGCGCTGGACTCCGTCTTCGCCGACATCGTTGGAGCGGAGGCTGCCATTGTGCGCCCCCAGGTTCCACCTCCACACACAACTTTAACTGGGTTCCTCTCCTCTCTGATGAATCAACTAATTGACCACTGTTCCACTGGTGCCCAGTTTTTCTCCGGTACCCACGCCATTGCCTGTGCGCTGTTTGCGCTTCTGAGGCCTGGGCATGAGGTAGGGAACAGGACGAACTGAATGAACAGGTCTTGGCACTGCTTCTGATTGACATTTCAGACTGACGGATGTTGGATTCCTGCAGCTCCTGGCACTCGCTGGGCCTCCGTACGACACCTTAGAGGAGGTGATTGGGATCAGGGGGTCGGCCAATGTAGGGTCACTCAAGGATTTCGGAGTGGCGTACCGAGAAGTTCCCGTGCGTCAATTTCTCCCTTCACAACCCAGTAGTGCCTAGTGTGTGTCGCCTTGTGCTGTGGCCTGTGGAAGTCTGGATGATTACTGATGAGGTTTCAGTTATAGCTTGCAGCAGACGGTGGCCTTGATTGGGATGCTCTTGCTTGCTCCATCAGGCCGGAAACTGGATGTGCCTTCATACAGAGATCTTGTGGGTATTCGTGGCGCAAGAGCTTAAGCGTAGCAGATATTCACAGAGCTATAGATTTGATCAAGGCAAGATTGTTGTGTTTTGTAACTAGCAACGTTCTCTATCTATAGCAGCTTTTCTATGTGCTGATAAGTTTTTTTTTCTGGTTTTGATCTCATTGCAGATGCAAAATCCAAACTGCATGGTGATGGTTGACAATTGCTATGGTGAATTTGTTGAGACATCAGAACCTGCAATGGTGGTATGTCCATGATTAACCACACTTTTTTTTAACAGAACTGGCAGGTGCGCTGCCTTTTCATTCAGTAGATAGCAAAGTCTGAATATTTACAAGGTAATGAAAAGAGCAAATAATGAAAAAGCTCTAGAACTAGTGAAGAACTATGGATTGTCCTCGTGTGCTTGGCGTTGCATCTGTAGTTCTGTACATCATTGATGAAAAGAGCAAAGAATGAAAAAGCTGTAAAACTAGTGAAGAACCACACTCTTGAAGACGGTCTCTATTTCATTGTGTGTTTTCATGGCAGGGAGCAGACTTGATTGCTGGCAGTTTGATAAAGAATCCAGGTGGAACTATTGCGCCTTGTGGTGGTTATGTTGCTGGGAAGAAACATTTAGTTGAAGCAGCTGCAGCTCGTCTATCTGCACCTGGGCTTGGGGTGGAATTTGGGTCAACACCTGGCCATGTTATGCGTGCATTGTTTCAAGGCTTGTTTCTTGCTCCACAAACGGTTGGAGAAGCAGTAAAAGTAGGTTTGCTAATTGCAAATGGTTGGAGATACAATGCATGCAATTGATGATATAATATGATCCACAGGGAGGTTTGCTAATTGCAGAAGTCATGTCAGCCAAGGGGTACAGAGTTCAACCACTTCCGAGGGTTCCTCGCCGTGACATTGTGCAGGTTAAATCTTGCCTTAAAGACAAGCATGACATTGTAGGTCTGAAGTTTTTTCTTCCTTTTTTGTTTTAAAAAAAGGACCAGGTAGTTGTAATGTGTAACACATTGACAATGCTGATATAGGGGAAAACAGACTGCAAAATAAAGATAAATGGATGAGAACATGATAATACAGACTGAAGGAATATTCTATTTATGAAATCCAATCTCAGACAGAAGGCCAACCCTCTTTACAATATTTCATACTGCACATCTTATCGATAGAGTGTGTTAAACTTTTTTTAAGGCCAATGAACAGATGACGAGAACTTCGAAAAATAAAATTGCAGGCAGTGGAGCTTGGCAGCAGGGAAAGACTCGTTGCATTCTGTGAAGTAGTGCAACAAACTTGTCCAGTAGGATCTTTCATCAAACCAACTGCTGGGGAAACCCCTGGCTATGCTTCAGAGGTGTGTTTATAACTTCCATCATGGCATCACTCTTACACTTCATGCTGTTGTTTTTGTTACAATGTATAAATAGTTTATTTCATGAACTTATTTTCTGATGAAATATACACATGTTCTAAATATCACATGCTCCACTGTTAAACTGCATACTTTGCTTGTTTTTCTATCAAACTAAACTACTAAAGTGACTAACCCATTTAAATCAGGTCATTTTTGCTGACGGGACATTCATAGATGGAAGCACAAGTGAACTATCATGTGATGGGCCCTTGAGAGATCCATATGCCGTCTTCTGCCAGGTGAGCTGAGAGCCTGAGATCCTCATGTAATTTTCACTCATGGCCATTTGTGTCGAGTTTAGCCTCTTATTTGGCCTCTTGCATGCAAGTGGTTCCAATACTTAATCTGGTGCTGAGAATCTTAGCCCTGAGATAGCAAATAAAATCTTTCCTCATACTTGCACTGCTTGTCACCATTGAAATGTACTGGCACAGGGAGGAACACATTGGACACAGTGGGCGCTTGTCCTCAGTGATGTTCTGACGGTCATATAACATTGCGGTGTGATAATAGTCACATTTCTGGTATGGACGTGCTCTTTTCCTATCCTAAGTTCCTAGCTATACTTGTTTGCTGGGAATGATTGATATTGTGTAACAGTTGTGTGGCAAATTTGCAATTTTCCCTTTACATAGCATTGGCCATGAATTGTTTGAACATTTCCTTGCAAAATTTCATAACTTTGCAGGTCTACGAGCCAATCCCTTGTTGCTCCCCACATGCATCAGCTGAAAGGGCAGATGAATTAGCCTAGTTGTGGGTTACAGTTACATCTTACATGACGAAATCTAAATGAAAATGGTTTGTGAGTTAAAGCATGGCATAAGGAGTAGAATGAATCGTCAAAGAGAAAAGTTCAGTAAGGCTACCTGACGAACATCTCCCACGAAGCGTGACAAGAACAGAAGGGCTTCAGTCAAGTTGTTGCGTTGTAACCATACAGTGGTTAGAATGCGCAGGGACGCAGGATGCCATACAGTGGTTACTTTAAAATCACTTCATTTTGGAGTACATTCGTTAATGCTTTGCTTCATTTATATAGCCTCTAGCAAATTGCTGTATTGTATATATATAGATCATGGAACAAAACAAGCTGCTTATTTTACGACTTTTTGTTCAACACTAGTTTGACACAAGAAACAAAACAAGCGGCTCACCATATCAACACGGAGTGGAGTTATATATGTGCTATCGATGGAAAGCTCAAATCTTACAAGCAAGAATTTGAGCACCGTATTGTGGCCGGAGGTTGATCATGAGTATTGGTGCATGAACATAGGATGGCGAGACAACAAACGTGAAGCGCTGAAGGATCATTGCCAGTGCCACTTTCGCCTCGACCATGGAAAGATTCTTACCAACACAGACCGAAGGGCCCATGCCAAAGGGTCAGTATGCACCGAGGTGATACCTCCTGCGGCCATCAGCAAATCTCCATGGATTGAACTCATCAGCGTCAGCGCCCCAGATGCCGGTGTCATGGTGAATGTCGACGATGGGGAATTCAAGCTGTGTGCCGGCAGGGATGTCAAGTTTGCCTAGCTTGACGTCCCTAGTGGCAGTCCTGTTGACAGACACACCTGGGGGGATACAATCGGAGTGTTTCTTTTAACACCATATCTACCTGTTCTCATGCCAACATTGTAAGGAGCATTATTAGAAGTCAAGAGGAGAAAGGGTGCCACAATATACGTACAGGTATATGTTAGTCATTCAAGGAAAATATATGACTCGCAATTTTCAGATTGCTCAGGTTTTCTGCATTAGGGTGCTCGAGTTTACCACACGCACGAAGAACCTCATCACGGGCCTTGTCTTGCCATTCTCGGTTCGATGCAAGAAGAAGTGTAGCCCATGTCAACAAATGAGCCGTTGTTTCCTTCCCGGCAAAGTAAAATACCTTACACTCTTCAATTATCTCTTCAATGTCCATTTTGAACTCGCTCCCTGCTTTGCTAGCTGACAGCATCAACCCGAGCAAATTTTTTGCATCCTCACACTTCCTTCCATTGATCTCGATCAACTTGCGCAAAGAATTTCGGAGTTCCAAGTTTAGGCTCTGCCTCCCTCGGTTCTTATTTGTTGGCACAAGCCTATGAGAAAGAGGCCACATGCTCATATATATGTTAGAGTAAATTTTCATTGGTGCTTCTTGAACTTTTCAGTTCTCGCATCATAGTCCCGTTACATGCAATTGGCACGTTCCACTCCCTAATTGGTACATTCCACCTCCTAAACTTGTACTATTACCATCCTAGTCCAACCCCCTAGCACCGCGCCACACACACACACCTCACCCACGCCGCCGCGCAATACTGTACCACTGTGCTCACCCCGCCACCCCACACCTGACTGCACTATATCCCATCGCAGTGCCGCATCCACACTGCCAGATCGGGCCCTACCACACATGCCTGCGTCTGTATGCCACACCGCAGTGACACGCCTGCCCACATACGCCGCCATGCCATACCCTTGCCAAGGGAGATGAGGAAGCTTGCGAGGGTGGGGAACCGGTGCAAGAGGAGATGGCGAGCACGAGCGCCTGCTCGATGGGGGAGAGGAAGGAGTGTGGCAATGTCGGTGTCAAGTGTGTCTGCCCTGAGGCTGGGGCCTATGTCAACGCCACAGTGAGGCGGAGGTGGTGCGAGTTAAGCAAGAGTGAGGAGGGCCTCGGCAACAGTGGCTCCGCTTGGACATGTGGCAGAGGGCAAGACGACATGGGAGGGTGAGTGTGCGTCGTGACGGTGCAGAACAATTCGGCAGCGGGGGTGTGACCATCGCGTGCAGCGCAGTGTGGGGACGGGGGTTGATGACCAAGATGCTATAGTAATACAAGGGTGTCAATTGTGCAATTCATAAGCACCAAGACTGGGATGAGAGCGAACAAGTTTAAGGACCAAACGTATAAATTGTAACTACTGGAACTAGGACGAGAACTCGGGATAAATTCATGAAATTTCTAGATGCCTTACTTCATATTGAAATATAAGATATCTACAAATTCTAGGATAGATTATAGGATAAAACAAATGACGCATGTATCCCTTCGTTAACTCTGGAGAGATATTTGTGCTTACCATATATTTGAACTTAGTGCTAGGTATTAATGGCTTGTGATTGTTGTGGAGGGGTTAAATTCATCTAGAATGTTTTACAGTTTGAGACAAATTTTGAATAATTTAATACTTCATATTTTACGATGGATCGGAGTGAGTATATCTGCCGACCGTGAAATTCACTCTATACCTTCGGAAGGAAAGAGGCAAATCTTACCTGAAGCCAGGAACATAGACTGTCCTCATTGCAAGAGCAACAAGTTTGACCTGTTCTTCTTGCAACTGAAAAATCCGATTCCCCTCCTCATAGCTACTTCCAAACGCCGCATGGGAAATGACATCTGCACTCAAAGTGTGGAACCCTTGGTAGACATCTACCTCAAACTCGGTGATGTGTCCAGCATGGATGAGGTGCCAGCTGCTATCTCTGGTATCCAAGCCTACAACACGACGTCGTCACAACAGTGCCACCAAATTTCATGTTTCAAAAGATGTACTATTTCCAAATGATTAGAATCGCATGCATGGTCGGTCGATGGATGGATCACCTTGACTCGCTCCATGTTGAACGCCGGCGCAACCACACGGCGGTGGCGCGCCCACTTCTCCCCGGAGAGCCCCGGCAGCCCCTGGCCCGTCCGAGCGGGTTCTCGCCGCCGAAGCCGGACTTGTCAAAGGCCCCCGTGGAGTCGGTCATCACCGCAGCCACAACCTCGGGGTCGGAGACGACCAGCCGCGGCCGGGGCCCGAACCAGTACACGAAAGGGCGGCCATGCCGCGCCGACCACTCGTGGTAGTGCGGCACGACGCGGGAGAGGACGCCGGCGTTGTGGAAGGAAGCGAGGGGCGGCGAGGACTGGGCACCCTCCACAGCATTGCGCGGAACTCGGCCGCGTTGCCGGAGAGCAGCCGGCGTTGGGGACCCCTGATGCCCTGCAGCCGGAAGCGACGCTGCAAGTGCCACGGAACCCATAGGAGGCAGTACAGCAGACGGATCACGCACGGCACTGTGACGAAGAGGGCAGCGAGGAAGACCGAGAAGACGGCTGCCATTAATTGCTTCCCTGATCGAGGAAGGAGAGGTTCTTGCCTTGTGGGTTTGACTCCCATGCAGGAGAAGCGAGCAGGTTTAAATAATAACAGATGGAGTATATTATAATATATATCCTCGACCTCGACGGTTGCTGTTCATCATGTTCTAAAACTGCGAGCTGTGCATATATTGTTCATCAATTTCCTAAGCGATTTGACTCTCTTAACGTCCGACCACATGGGTTGGCTGTTGCTTATACGCACTTCCTTCGCTTCAAAGCGTGTTAGGGAAGTTTTAAATATAATAAGTTTTACTATTTGATACTGTTATAAGCCAAAATCAAGATATCAGGGTTCAAGATATCTTCTGGGTTTATATTCAGCGCAACTGTTCTGCATCAGCTTAATTGACTTTCATGCATGTAGCAACTCAATCTACTTTCACGTTGCTTTCAAAAGCATTCGAGTCAGTGTATATATCCCTCCTGTTCGGTACTTTCGTATTATCAGCTGATGACAATGAAAGAAACGAAACCATTGGTCAAGCACATTTTGAACTTATACAATCAAAAAAAAATGAACTGTTGCAATCAAAATTCTCACGGGGTCTAGCGGTCTAGCCTCCGCTTGCAACGCCACCCTTCGTCCTCCACTTGCTACGTCGCTCATCCTCGCCTCGACTCCTACGCTGATGGCCCCGCAACATTGCCTATTGGTCCGCCTCCACCTGCTCGGAGCAAGCACGTTAGGAGGCGCTTTGCACTTGCACAGCTCGAAGTCCGCTCTTCCCTCACCCACTACCACCCACTACCGGAAACAGAGAATTTGTCGTGTGCCATAGGCACTCGGCAAAAGCTTTACCGAGTGTAACACTCGGTAAATAGGACACGGCATCTACAGAGTTGGCAAATAGCTATTTGCCGAGTGTTTTTTATCGCGCACTCGGCAAATGGTTTGCCGAGTGTCAAATTTGACACTCGACAAAAAAAAGTGGTTTGCCGAGTGTTTTTCCAAAATACACTCGGCGAAGGATTATTGTTTGCCGAGTGTTTTTGGAATTACACTCGGCAAACCTATTTTCCAAAGAAAAAAAATATTTTTTCTTAGCATATTGTTACTGTTTGCCGAGTGTTTTTTGAAATTATACTCGGCAAACCTATTTTCCAAAGAAAAAAAAAATATTTGCAAGTCTTGATTGGAATTCTAGCAGCTCTGATTCTGTAAGGTATGGATAGGATACTTCCTGCTCACATAATGGACATAAATAACAAACAAAAACAATCATCCCTACAATCTTATTTAGATCCATTGTTCAGCGACACGGCAGTCCCTCTTCCTCCCATGCATCCATCTCAAGCATATTTGCAGGTGCCAAGACCTGCAAGAATCAAGAACACCAATAAGTCAGCCCGCCAACACGCTTGACAAGCAACGAGACACTCACAGTCACAACAAGATGTTTCTACTCACTCGGGTCATGATGGTGATGATGGGCCGGTGCCGTTGAAGAAGCAGCCCACGAGTTCCCGCCCGAGCACAGTAGTAGGCGTTCATGGCCACCGACGCCCATGACAGAGAGGCCTTCGTCTGCCGAAGCGCAGCCGCCAGATTCTGGATGGCGCCACACGCCGCTCTCTCGGAGCAAAGCGAACTCCAGTGTTAA